ACTTGGGACCAGTTCACACGTGTCTTTCTATTTTGATAAATTTCAGCCTCTCATAGGGAAGTGTTGCGACTTCAGTTCGAGCAGCTTCGGCAGGGTCAGATGTCGGTGATCGACTGTGAGGTGAGATTCTCTGAGTTGTCTCGCCATGCACTTATGATACTCCCCACCGATGTAGAGAGAGTGCCGAGGTATGTTGTTGTCATACCCAAACCTGACGAGGCATGGCCGACACCCGGTGCCATACTTGGTCCGAGCATACCACTCTGTAATTGTGAACTCTAGAGGGGTAACCCTCAACTTAGGCCGATAAGGCCATATTCTGAATCATCTGAAAATAACGTCTACAACCAGTAATACCAAACTAAACATCTACATAGGGCTAGTAAAGCCACAATACTGATATAAAAAATGTACAGGACTCGTCTACAAGCCTCGAGGGATAACTGAACTATATTATGGTCGGGACAGGGTCTCGACCTACCCATAACCTATATATAAAAAATGGATTTCAAGGTATAGACCTGGTAACTCCGAGAAAGTAGAGCTGATGTTTGACTTTGTCTACTGGGAAGGTCTATCCAGCTATCTATCAAGACTTGGAGGCATGAAATACAGCATCCCCAGCAAAAGGGACGTTAGTACGAAATAATGTATCGAGTATGTAAAGCAACAAAATAATTGAAAGGTGAAACTGAACTGATAATATAATAATTGAAAGTAAGTGGGAGTCAAAGATAATCTGAAGAGATGCTTACTGTTGATACTGACTCATCTCTCTAGATATAGTAAGTAAAATAGTTGCCCGGCCCTATAAAGCTCTGTATGTGTAACTGTTCTAACGTAGTAGACTCGCTCATAGGTGTTCGGCTATACTAGGCTCTATATCCCGACCATTCTAGGCTCACCCATAGGCACTTAGCCACAGTAGGCTCGATATATAACTTACCATCTAATCAGAGGTTACCCGATAAGGGGTTGCCCACCGATTATAGCTCGATGGTAGTGAAATTATTGTAATACTATATATATAGACCCTCTGCTCTCTTAACTAGAAGAAGAAAATACTCAATTGAATAAAAAAATGCCGATAAGGGAGAATACTATACCTTAGGAGGCTAGGATAATGTACATAAATTCAGGAATAAGAACTTCTCTTTATGCCTCATTATCAAACGCATTGAGTTATGGAATCATGCCAAAATAAAGAAAAGGTTTAGTCTTAACATACCTTGTCACAATCTTTCCAATCACCAAGTTGAACTTGCCTCTTCGCCCCATAATCTACAACAACGATAATAGTACTATCATTAGGCTACGAAAGGTACAACTATTGCATAACGAACGACAAGCTTATTTTGTATTAAAACGGACAACATCTACATTATTATCCTTGCTTTCTCCAAATTCAAGATAACACCAATCAACACAAGAACACAAAAATAACAACATATATACATTATTTTTGTAACCTTATATACACCATAAAATACTACAAAACAGCCCAATACACCCCAATCTCTTCTTACCCAAAACGACCACCGTAGTAGTGTCAAATAGCCCGAATATGTTACAAAGAACGACCAGACCTCCAACTTGAATTTTTATGGTGTTTATCCACAACCTTCCTCATCCAAAATTCCATAAAATAGTAGTAAATCATCCAATCCAACAGCAACACAAAACATTCCACAAAATAGTCCGCTACAAGTGAATAAATCAAACTCACGGCTTCCGATCACCGTCCCGTGGGTTCTTACAATTATAGAACGACTTTCCATTCATCTCCAGCAGAAAAATATTTATGAAAGAGAGAAGTTATAATACCTTATTTGTTGAATAACTATCTCATATCTTGGTTCTTTAAACTATAGGTTTTACCTCCAACTAGAACTTGAAAAGGAGAGAAAATCAATTAGTGTTTGTGGGCAATTTTTGAGAGGATGTTTGCAGGGGTTTAAGTCTGGTTATTATTTTATATAATTGAGTGTTTTACTGCATGAGATAATCTCTTAAATGGGCACTTTGGCCGACCCGTAATAGCCTCTTTTGGACTCTCCTTTAAGCAAGTAGGTGACATACCTACTTGTCATCTAACAGTTGTGCAGTCTCTCGGAAATGCACTTATCTCTCTATTCCGATGTCATATGGACAAACGGTATAATGTGTTAGAAACTAGAGTCATAGATATTAAATTTTCTAGGTAGATCATCCCTTAATTCCAAGTATATTGGGATAAAATTGCATCTACATTTGACCTAATTTTCAACACATATATGAATGTAATTTGTGATGACCTTTGCCAACTTTTGTTCCACAACTTGCAATGTTTTGAATCATGATTTCTATAATTATCTAGATCTAATAATCAAACTCTTGATTTACTTAGCTGATGTAACTCTTTAGTATCCTCTTCTCTTTCAGCCTTTAAGTAGGCTTAAGTTATCTTCCGATCTGCTGCTCGTGGCATTTGTTATTACATTAGCCCCTCGTGGATGCTATGGAATATCCATTATATAACCTTCTAGCAATTCAAGCTTCTGTCTGTGACGTGGACTCAATTCATTCGTTTAACTTATAGTAGAGTCTCCTATATCCATGTCATTGTCAACATATATGGTGCATAGATAGCACTCTGAACTCTTAAGTGTGTTCACAACGTAACTAACTGTGGGTTATAGATTGAATAATTCCTTTCGTAACTTCTCGACTTTCGTTAAAAGTAAGCAATTACCTTTCTTGGTCGTTCTGCCACCTTTTGCATTAATACTTGGCTTATCTTAGTGCCCACATATATTGTAATTTTGTGCAACTCATATGATCTTAAATATTACATTGGATTTTACTTCCCGTTCCTTAGTTACGATAGGTGCTATTTTCTTATGAAGTGTATACAATATTATAGTGAGACTGTTGTTACAAGATCATTTCTTCTTTAGGTCACTATGCTTATGTTGAAGCTTTCTTCCTTATTTCCTCAACTAGTCTTTTGTTGTAGCACTTAGGGGAGACCTTCTAACTCCTATAAATCTGCGAGCTTATTACACCATATACCCGGAGGAATTTTTGATATTCTTATTCGCCTATAATTATCCTTAGTTACATAGCTCCACGCCCTTGTGCTCGTAGGGTTACTTCAGAACTAAAATTTTAATTGTCTCCCTAGTGGCACTTTTATTTCCGTAACACTTATACTGTACCTTTTACTACCCTAACTCCTATCTGAATATTATCAAGGACTACGATGTCGTATCTGCGAGAGTGAATTTCTTATGCTGGGTTTCACTATGTTTATCTTGCATGATCTACTAATTTATCTAAGACATCTTGTCCATGCTCATATGTATATTCCGCGTAATCTCTCTTAGGTTATGTCATTTATCTTAACTTACCTCTTGCACTGGCTCTTTATGTATCAAGTGTCCATTCACACTTATTTATCAATAACATCCTGGCCGAAAACCCTTACTGCCTCTCTCCGGCATCGTGCTTGCACAATGTTCTGGAGTCGTAACATATCTATATGATATGAATAAATGCAATCTCATTCCTTTTTCCCTTTCAACCACAATCTTCCTTTACTATCCCATAATTACCTGAAACACTAACCCCGACTTAATAACATATCACACCATATTTCCCCCTTTAGGGGTGTACTAACATTTAATGCTATGAAGATTTACCTATAAATATTTTAACTATTTATCTTTGGCATCTTTTCACATCTTCACTGACTCTTACTCGCCTTGCAGTAACCCTTCTATACCAGGGATACCTGAATTTCTTACACGCAAGGGTGACACCTAGTGTAACTGGCACACTTAGTCCCTTAAGCTTGAGTTTGCTCAATGTTTTTGCTTTGGCGGAGCGTCTTCCTGAATGACTTTCAAATGTTATTCTTCTGTTGTCCATTTTATTATTGTCACACTTCCTTTTTACCACCCGAAGGTAATATAAGGGAGTTTTTCCAATTAAAGTGACATAATCGAAATGGGATTATTTATTTTATTTTTAGAGTCGCCACTTGGAATAGTTTATTTGGTGTCCCAAGTCACCGGTTTATTTTAAAATCCCAAATCGAGGAAATTAGACTTTTATTTTAAAAGGCTGCGAAGCAGAAATTCTAGATAAGGAATTCTGTTAACCCGGGAGAAGGTGTTAGGCATTCCCGGGTTCCGTGGTTCTAGCACGGTCGTTTAAACTATTATAATTGGGCTATTATCCGATCTATTACGTGTTTTAGCCTATGGTGCATTTTTAACTTTAGAACCACTTTTAATTATTTTAAAACGCTTTTAGGAAGATTCAACGTTATTTAAAACATGCCTTGAACCATGCTACATGAAATGTACCTGCGGTTCCCGACACATTCTATTTAACATTGTTGAAAATTGAAATTGGGTCACATGAAATGTACACCCAAATTTAGTAATTAAAAAAAGTTTAAAGAACGCGCCTAAAGCAACTGTGAAGGTTCAAATTAATAACAATGTTTACGAGGGCCATGAAAAATTTAATTGATGGCACACCCCGATTATTAGAAGGCTTGAATTAGTTTCATGAGGGCCATGGATTATTTAATGGAATATGGCACACCTCAAATTTTCTATAAGAGCTAACTAGTTTTATGAGGGTCATGGGCTTAGGGGTTTTATTTGGCATGGCACACCTCAATTTATTTTAAAGGTGTTTTATTATTCGAAGTTGTTATAATCGGGTTACATGAAATGAACACCCGAATTTTGGAATTAGGCATTGTAAATATATCACGGAAACCGCATCCATAGTTATGGTGGTTTATTAATCGTGCCTAAAGCAAACTACGATGTTCACTATTGTTTTCCCTTCTAGGTTTCCTAAATCGACAATTATTTTAGATCAAATTTGTTTGGCTACAACAACAAATAAAACTAACAGGAGGAAGTAGTATATGGATCTTGACAATCATTTCTGAGATTCTTCCACATCAATGCAATTTGCAATTACAACTTAAAAACCAGTACTATTGATAGTCCATTTTTGGACCCTAGCTTTTGTAAGGATTCTCACTATATAAAATACACGGATATAAGAAATTTATTCAAAATAAATGGCATGCACATAGCCTCAGTGCATATCAAGTGATACACAAGCAAAATAAATCCAAAAGAAACAACAAATTAGATTACACTTCCAGGTTTGCCTGCAAAACATGCCAAAAATATACACATCAAAGAAGAGTCTTTTGCATCTGTCTGTGGGAGGTTGTTAATCGACATACCCATGCAGTGACACGAGGAATAGAAGCAAGATGCGTAAATGTCAGGAATTACACAAAAATCCAAAGAACACTTCCTAATTTTTTCAGAGACTTAGCGAACACCCTATTTCTAGGCAATTAATGCATAATTAGACACACATGCAACAAATAATGAAAATTGCAAGGACGTTCACGATATGGAAGCCAGAAATCAATAACTCAACATTGAAGATTCAACCTTAAAAATAAAGAAAAATAGACCTTAGTGAGCCTTGACCCTCCGACTCGGTCACAAAATTAGAAATCACGGACGAGCCAAATCGACGGAGCTCAGCAAAATTTTATCCAAACAGCAACATCAATGGAATCTAACAACAATTTGAACCTGAATTCTTCTTTTAATTTCCAAAATCTATTTTTTATTCTAGACGGAAGGGCGCACTACACGCGAAATTCGAAATAGCACTCAAACTCGAACGAAATCAATGGTCCTCCAAACTCGCCGGAAATATGAACGACAGAACTATTTGGTGCGTTCTTCGCTAAAATAGAAAGAGCAGCGGCGATTGAAGATGAAGAGCTACTAGATTTCTTTTGGCTCTGTTTTCCTTTTCTTGTTTTTTTTCCGTCCCTTTTCCTTTTATGTAATTGTGTGTGTCTTGTTTTCAACTGAGAAATCAAGAAGAGGAAGATAGAACGTAAAAATGAAGAAGAAGAAGAAAATGAGCAGCGGCGCTCAAAGTCCAAAAATCAGAACGNGTAATTGGGTTATATGGGATTTTTGGGCTTCAAGTTAAGCTGGCCAGACGAAATTAAAAGACCAAATCTACTTCTTTTCTTTATTTTTCTTTTGATTCAAAAATCTAATTGAAATAATTAAACAAGCTAAATAAAATCCTAAAATTAGGCTCTACCTTAAATTATTTCGTAGAGTTAATCTTACTTATTTCACTAATTTAAAACTAAAAACTAAATTGTGGACATGCCTATTGTAGTAATTTTTTTGTTGTGATTTTTGTTTAATGAATGCAATTAAACTATGAAATTAAATACCTAAATGCAAATTAAACTTAAGATGGCATGAAATTAAAATGACAATTTTTATGATTTTTTCTATGTTTTAAAATTTTAAAAACACATGAAATGCAACTAAATAAAGAAAAACTCCTAAAAATCAATAAAAATTAATTTAGTCTATTTTTAAGAGTTATTTTCATGTAAGACAAAATTAGGTGCTCACAGCTGCCTCTCTTTGCTCGGAAACATGAAGAGTTTTCGGGTAAAAATAAAATGAGCAACTACGAGTTTTGCCCATTTGAAAATCTATTTGGAAGCATTTTGAATTCGAACCTTGCTTCGGAGGTTGCCTACATATCCTTGGCTATAAAGGAATCAGGTCGGTGTAGTTCTGAAAGTTTTGGTAGTTGGGACTACCGAGAAGCTGTGATTTCACTGTTGGTGCTGATGTTTCTGCTTGCTGAGCTCCTTATTACACAAAAATAAAAAACAAAAGCTAAACTAGCTAAGCCTATCAACTACGACTTAAAGATTCCTATCTATGAGTCTTCTGAAGCTTGATCTTGAGTTTTGGTTGGTTCTTCATGTGGACTCTGATCTAAATCTTGCTGCTTGTTAGCTGCAGGTGCTGGTTCTCTCCCTTTTCAACTTCTCGAATCAAGGAGGGACGTGCAAAGCTTGTGACTTCAATCATGTCTTGAGCAGTCCACATCTTTTCTCCGCTTCTGCACTTTTAGTTCAACTTCTTTTCTTGTTCTTATTTTCTTTTATTTGGGTTGAGACTTCTTCTTTTGGTCATCTCAAACCTTGTGCCTCATAGTGGAACCTTGTTCAGGCACCAAAGCAAACAAACAAACGAAATTTTCTGCCCCAGTTTTCACTAGGAAAATTTTGTGAGTTATTTGTAACAAAAATCTAAACTACTTCTTTATTGAAAGCAATAAAATTAGGATTATGTATCCTTGGGAAAAGAAATACAGGGAGTGGAGACCCTGTATCTAAAATGAAATCAACTAGGGATTGGAGACCCTATGTTGGAAAAAGCAGACTAGGGAGTGGAGACCCTATGTCTAAATAAAATCAACTAGGGAGTGGAGACCCTATGTCTAAATAAAATCAACTAGGGAGTGGAGACCTTATGTTGGAAAGATTACCAGGTTATACTGGCATCAACTAGTGAGTGAGACCCTATGCTGGAAAGTGAGACTACTGACTTGTGTACCTATGCTAAAATAAACCAAGAAGGATTTTTTCCTTTTCTTTTTTTTTTAAAGAAAAATCAACATTTTTTTCACTTTTGAGAAAATCATTCTTTTAAACAAATTTCCCCAACGCCTTTTTTTTAATCGAGACGTCCTTTTTTCCTTTTTCAAATTATTCTAGGAGAAAATTCGTCATACTAGGTTTTCTATCTTAGGAGAAAGATTGATCAGACTAAGATTTCTATCCTAGGAGAAAATTCATCAGACTAGGTTTCCTATCTTAGGAGAAAGATTCATCAGACTAAGATTTTGATCCTAGGAGAAATTCATCAAACTAGGTCCTTTTTTTCTCTTTTTTTTGGTATCTTAGGAGAAAGATTCATCAGAATAAGATTTTTATCCTAGGAGAAAATTCATCAGACTAGGTTTCCTATCTTAGGAGAATGATTCATCAGACTAAGATTTTGATACTAGGAGAAAGTTTATCAGACTAGGTCTCTTTTCGTATCTTAGGAGAAAAATTCATCAGACTAAGATTTTGATCCTAGGAGAAAGTTCATCAGACTAGGTCCTTTTTTTTTCTCTTTTTTTTTCCTTTGGTATCTTAAGAGAAAGATTCATCAGATTAAGATTTCTATCCTAGGAGAAAATTCATCAGACTAGATTTCCTATCTTAGGAGAAAGATTCATCAGACTAAGATTTTGATCCTAATAGAAAGGTCATCAGACTAGGTTTCTTTTCTTATCTTAGGAGAAAGATTCATCGGACTAATAGCCTATTTGGCCAAGCTTCTTTTAGGCCAAAAGTGGTTTTTTTTTGGCCAAAAGTGGTTTTTTTTTTGCCAAAAGCACTTTTGACCAAAAATTGAGGTGTTTGGCCAAGCTTTTGGAAGGAAAAACAGTGTTTTTGAGGAGAAGCAGAAGCAGTTTTGGAGAAGTAGAAAAAAGTAGCTTCTCTCCAAACAGTGCTGATTTTTCCAGCTTGGCCAAACGGGCTATAAGATTTTGATCCTAGGAGAAAGTTCATCAGACTATGTCTCTTTTTTTTTTGTATCTTAGTAGAAAGATTCATCAGACTAAGATTTCTATTGGGAGGAAAATCCATCAGACTAGGACTTTTTATCCTAGGAGGAAAAATGTTAGGATTAATGGCAAGATTTTATACATAATAACAAGACAAATAAAGGCAAAGATTTGAGAAACTTCCCTTTGTCGGCTCTTCTCTTCTTTTCTCTTTTTTTTCTTTTTCTCATTTTTTTTTGAATTATTTTTGAACCACTATCCTTGCACTGCTTTTTTCCTATTTCAAATAAAGAAAATTTTGTCAGTTTTGAAAGTGGTGGTCGGTTTGTGGCTTTGAGTCCTGGGCAGCTTGGCTTTTGTTCAATCAGCTTGAGTCGATTTCAACAGACTTTTGCTCAGCATCAACCCTGATTGTTTCACACCCGTCACCATTTGTATTTGTGGGTCAATCAACCTTATCCCAACTAGAAATCATTTCTTAGGTGACCTTTGATGATATCTTGAATGACTTCTTGATTTTTGAGCAATTTGTCTATAAGAGAGAATCACCATTTATCTTTCTTGCACCAAGTAGGCTGACAAAAGTGTTTTTTGGGGAAGACTTTGCATGAATCCTCAAGGCATGTTGATAGTAACAACTGAGTGTGCTGGCTAAATTTACTTTATGCAACTGAAAAGCTGGTAGCAGATTTTGAAATCTTTTCTTGATTGTTTTGACAACAACTGACTCAGAGTGAAGGACACAATGATGCAAAGAAACAAGTATCGACAAGAAATGCCCCTGTTGGAAGGATAGAAGGAAGAGTTTTTTTTTTCTTTTTTTCAATAATTTGCATTAATGATCATGACATGCATTTTGGACTCAATAGTCTGATTTATCAAGCTAATCCAATCTTCCCCTTTACCATTCTTATGACCTTTGAAGTTAGGCTTGTTCGTGTCAATTCTTTGCATTAGCTTCGTGACACATTTTCGACTAGTGGTTGTCACACCTCCTTTTTACCTACACCCCAGTGAAGGGACGTAAAGGGAGTTTTTCCAATTAAAGAACAATCGAAATGGGATTATATTTAAAGATTCAGAGTCGCCACTTGGGAGATTTATGGTGTCCCAAGTCACCGGTTGAATCCTGAATTGAGGAAAAGATTAACTCTGTTTAATAGTCTGCGCACCAGAAATCCGGATAAGGAATTCTGTTAACCCGGGAGAAGGTGTTAGGCATTACCGAGTTCCGTGGTTCTAGCACGGTCGCTCAACTGTCATATTCGGCTTAATTATCTGATCTTTATACAATTATGAACCTATGTGCAAATTTTACCTTTTAACTGCTTTTATTATTATCATTATTATTTTAACAGAGAATTGCAACGTCGTGAAAACGTATCTCGAACCACGTCACATCAATGTACCCGTGATTATCGACACATTTCGACTCCGTTGAGATTTGGATTTGGGTCACATAAATGTGAACCCGAGTTTAAGAAAGTAAATCATTAAAGGAGCGCCTAACAGTGACTAACGCGTTATTACTTTAGGTAAGGCCGTGAAATCTGCTAAACGGCCCGTCCCGAATTCTATGTATTCATGATATTCCTTTATTGAGGGCCCCGCAGCTTGTGCATTTTATTTGGCGAGGCTCGTCTCCTTTTTATATTTTTATTTTAAAAAAAAAGTAAGCCTAAAGCAACTATAATTTGCTATTTTTATTGTCTCTAAAGTAAAAAGAAGTCCTAATTAATTTGTTTTAAGAGCAACTTCCCCTTTAAGAAAGAAACTTATAATTAATCCGCATCGGGCCTCCAAGGCCTACTCGTGGGACAACTTACTTTCATCTCAAATCCAAGCACAACTTTCCTAATCAGTTAATTAATTAACAATGGTTACAATTATTAGCTTAATAATACATTACCATTAATTTCCAATCTCGTGTTAACTATTGGCCATTGTCTATTACTATCAGATTGAAAATGTGTATCATATCATTATTATTACAACTAAAATATATTACTTGTCTAAACTACAACGATACAAGTTTACACATTACAAAATATTGTCTAAAACTTGTCTAAACTTACTAACGACAATATTGTCTAAAACTTACATAAATATATGTATTATAAAATATATATATATATATATATATATATATATAAAACATTTACGAGAATACATAGATACAAGTTTAATTCTTAACAAAATATGAATAACGGATGCACTCTTAATCAATAACCATATTTAAACCCATACTTGTTGATTTCAGCTTACAGCTAGCTTCTTATTTCAAAATTATACTACAAAATAACACTAAACAATATGACTATTACATAATCATATTCCAAAATCCAAACAATCTCGGAATCAAGCAGCCCAAACAACTTATAAATAGTCCTAATTATACAGTCATTTATTATTCATGTAATATAAACAGTCCTAGTTCAAATCCGTGTAGTCCATATCATGTCAACAAGCCAACCAGTTAAAAAAAACTAAATAAGTACAACCTATAATGA